CTTTTCGGACAATCAGGTGGTTCAGCCTGCAATGGCCTAACTTAAAAACTTAATATATAACATGCGAAGTCTTTAATGTATTTAATTTGTTGCAGTCTTTCGTCGCTTTGACTATATTTAATCAGTAAAGGTTTAAATTTTGTTGGTGGGAATAAGTTGCAAAAAATATTGCGGTAGATGGAGCCATGCCACGGTTTATTGCCATTAAAATGCACCTGTGTTTTCGACGCTACCCTAGTTTTATGCTTATACTATGTACTGTGGCCGCGTCAATAGTGGGATAGCTTTTATGATCGGTGCCGGAAGGTGAAAAATAAAGGATTCACTTTATGAAGGAGTGAATAGGAATATAGATTTTATATTGTATGACTTTACAATGGGTCCTTTGTTTTATTTTACGTGCTTGCCATTGATCTGTGAAATACGAATAAGGGCTTTACTTTGACAGTTTTTTTAAAGTACTTAGTAGTTAGTAAAATCATAGATAGATAACACTAGCAACAGATGCACGTAAACGCTCGCAAGGTCTATGACAAAACTAACGTTCTAGTATAAAGTGTGGTCTATGATTATTTCAAAATGCATTTACTAACTATTAAAATTTCCCCTTACTCGTAAATCGTCAGAAAAGACGAGTAAAAGTCGTTTTTTAATTTAAGGGTCGATGTCGTAGATGTGGTGCCGGCTTAGATTAGCATCACCCCATATCTGGAAATTTTTGAGTATGCGTTTTGCAATTTTAGGCGTCAGGCTGACACCCTTTCCCTGTGGTGATACACAGTCTTCTGAATGAGTCTCTTTTTGTCAAGACGTGGTGTAACTAAATTGCCGTTATTTATGTTTACACTCTGCGTACCCCCAAGGGATATAGGCCTGATACACCTATGTACAAATTTATCAAATTTCTATCCTCTAAAACCGAATGTACAGAACCGAAATATTTTAATGTAGGAAAGATTTCAGATCAGATATTTACCAAAAGATGTTTCAGTGCTTGTAACGGTAACGAGGCAATATCGGAAAAGTGTCAAAATCGTGCGCCTCCGGTTGACCCACGGAAATTGAAAATATGGCGGAAATAGCTGGTTCCCGGTAATAGATGTAGGTATGAGAGTTATGAGTTTGCCTTCTGGTGCCGGTTTAGAATAGCATCATCCCATATCTTTCCCGTGGATAACGTAATACGTGACATTAGAGAGTTTATGTGTAGTGCATGTTTAGGCGACAAGCTGACAACCTGTCACTATAGTGATACAAAGCATATAGTGATAGATAGCCTGGCCAGCCCCGAGGCAGTGCCTTTATTTTTATTTTTTTATCCCGCCCGAGCCGCGTTTATAGTAGGAATAAAAAATTGTTATAAAAAAGAGAAATTTGCAATAAAAAAGAGAAAATTGTGCTTTGCAAATTTCTCTTTTTTAAAATGTCTAATCCATTTCTGCGTAATGTAATGTCTATCAATAAGTGATATTTTAATGTCCTATTTTGAATGAAGATCTTTCACTTTCAAAGTCTCAAAAATGACTCTCAAAGTTTTGTCTTCTAAAATGACACTTAATAGCCACATCAGCCCACAGCTGGACAAGGGCCTCCTCTTACTTTTGCCATACTCACGCAGGTAGATTGGCGAGCGCAGTGCAAGATATTTAATTCACAGGAAAATACATACATACTTATATCACATGCAGGGTAGGCAGAGTGTAAACGTTTGTAAAAAGGGCTATTTTTACCACGTCTGACTAAATATTTAAGAGTCAGTAGACTGTGCATCACAATAGTGACAAGTTGTCAACTTGCAGCCGTGTTGCAATACACATCCACTCTCAAATCCCTGAGCCGCTTTTTACTACACATACGGGAAAGATATGGGGTGCACCACATAGTATATTCTTAGCCGGCACCACACATCAGAAAAAATCCCTGGATTACTATTCCTTAGTCGCTTTTTACGGCACCCATTGGTAGATTTGGGGTGATGCTAATTCTAAGTCAGCTTTACACGGCAAATATCTAATTCTATTCGAATAGTCGTAAATAATTCTAGAATTCTGTACTTCTGTCTGCTTTGAGCCCGTATTTAAATAAACCAGCTACATTTCTATTCCTATTTTCACAAGTACCTTCATTTCACTGTGTCACATTCGCCCCTAGAGTTTAGTAATGCAATCGCAAAGTTGCTCGAACTTGCCCCGAGAGAAATTCCATTTTGCCACGGTACCTTTTTGCCACATCTTTTTAAACCTTAGTTTTAAACATACTATGAAATTTTACTACTGAAATAAACACTGTGCATGATTACGGACGTCTATATATATATTTTTGGGTGCGGGGTCACATTCCCGGATCGCGTTTTGTTTTTTGCTACTGAACATACCCTTATTTCTTGGTTCACTTTTAAATTTATTTATCTTGAAAATCTATGGTATTTCAAACGGAATAAGGACATTTTAAAATTGTAACAACCAACCAATTAAAGTGAATGTTACACTTAATTACAATAGTAATTTAGTTTATTTTAATTCTGAATCTTGATTTTTTACAATTTTAATATTCTTTTATCTGAATTAAATTACGTAGGTACTTTTAAAAACCCCATTTCACCAAGTACAGCGTGTATGAGCAACTTATCAGCAGACCACTTGTTTGAAATTCCTTTCACTCCTGTGTAAAAAGAGAGAGTGTTTGAGGGAGTCCTGTACATTGGTGCACGTGCGTAAAACAGACCAAATCGGTACAGGGAATATTTATCAATAAATAATTGCATTTTATGATGAAACGGGGCTAGTATTTTTATGAGTCCCTCTTCTCTTTTCGTGTGGAACACCGAGACGTTTAGCGACCCGATGAACCCTGGTGTCAGAGTTTTTCAACCACCTGCTGCAAGACGGCTTAACGTGTCCTTCCGAAACACGGAACCATCTTACTTGCGGACAATCAGGTGGTTCAGCCCGCAATGTCCTAACCAGACTGAGAACAAATTCACAAAGTGATAAATATCAACTTTGTGAGTGACCCCACCGGGAATTTAACCCGGAACCTTTGCGTGGCAGGCAGGCATACTAACCACTGCGCCACATCAGCTGTCAGAACCTACCTTACCGAGAGGGCGCTTGTATCGAGCTAGAAGTAGAAATTATTGTCGAAAAGGAAATGCCAAAGTGGCTGTATTTGGCCCATAATTTTCTTTTATTATTCGTATACTTTTGTGTTGGTTTTCTATGGAGTTTTGCAAGTTGATGTACGTATGTAATAAAATACTCGCTCTGAGTATGTAAATTGTAAAGAATATACTATGTGGTAGGTCCAAGTAGTAAAACGATCATAAATAAAACTTGGTGTATGAGGATCAATGCCCACAAAAGTATGGATTTATTTATTTATTCTCATTATTAATTATATTTTATGGATTTTTGTCCATTATTTGCCGCGCAACTTGTAGGCTTCGCATCAAAACCATTGTTCAATAATTATAGAGTCGAATTGTTGCTTAACATTTTGTCATTGAACGTAATTTAATTATGGCAGAAGTTATGAAGTTATTGATTAAATGTTCAAGTTACGTATCGAAAGAGACAATAGTGCTGAAGTTTGGGTGCCTATCGTGAATTTCGTTCTACATTCGTAATAATCGGTAAGTAGGGTGTGAAAATGGTTCACACCCAAGTAAAATCTTAGTAACAATTGTTAACAGCAGAAAAACGTCGCAAAATTAAATTATTTTTCCTATGTTTTGTGCAACAATTACCTTGGCTATTCTTAGTTAAAATTGGCGATACTTATTTATTAAGGAATGGTAGGTTATTCACCTTTAACGTCATAAGGTTCTAGTAAGTTTTACAATTGTCCTCTAAATACGGAAACGGAACTGAAACGTTCATAAATGTATAAATGCAAAAGTACGGCATTTCAGACTACCTTTGGCTTACTATAAAAACTTGAACCAAAGAATACTAAATATCTTAGCTCCAGAAGTAAAACAAAAGTAGTTTCCTTGGGGCGAGTTGGAAACTCCCAATTGCATTTCTGAATTCTGAAGAGTAATGTCATAGTAAAAACTTTCGCTGCGTCGTATGCAAGGCTTTTTCAGCCCCAAGAGCTTTAGTAGTTTTAGTAGCAGTAGTTTTAATATTTGTATAATTCTTATACCTTTAAACTGACCTAATGGTCCAGGCTCGTTTTTCTAAGGCCGCTATGGCAGCAACCAGATAAAACTCAGGAAGCTTATTTATAACAGTAGATATATTTGAACTGCAAAAATAGTACAACACGAAAATCATTCCAAAACCAAGAAAGATGCACACCTCAAAACGATCAGAAGGGCCCAACTGCAGAAGTCCCTAAGTCCAGGGCAGTCTAGTTCAAAATCGCACTAAATCCTCTTTTTGATTAGTTGTAAAAGAGTAAAGTTCAGAATTCAGCTGTTTCAGATATTGGACTTAGGGACTTCTGCAACTGGGCCCTTCCTTGTGTATTTATTTATTTAATGTTGGGTTATCGCAAACGAAAACTTTGTATGAAAGGGGTATCGAAAGAGAAAACTGGACTAAGATATTTATGGCGAATGCTAAATCGACCAGGGACTTCAAGTTTTAACTTACCTTCATCGCTTTCTGTTCTCATTGCAGTTATAGAAATTACTGTAATAGTTTTACACTTGTTCTTATTGCAGAAGCCACCTACATCTTAGTTCATCCAAATAATTTACCACTTTGCTACGTAACATTCCTCCCTAGGGAAAACGTCATAACTTTGAAATTGTGTTGTCATAATGCTGCTTTGGGGGCGAACGATGAAAACTTCCACCATGTGTTCGAGAGATCGTATTAATATTAACATACGTAAACTCACGCCTGAGATTCCATGCAAGGTAGATACCACATCCTGATATTACCAGTTATCATTCATCATTTATAGTTAGGGATAACGAGACAACAGACGACCCAATGATGTTGGTTTGAACCACATTGAGTAAATGAAAATAAAATATTAAAAAATTGCCATGCATCGACCGGGAATCGAACCCGGGCCGCATGGGTAAACGCCCCACCAACACCACTCTGCCACTGAGTTATCGATGTACCGGTAGATGCCTGCCAATTTCTTCAATCTCTTGATGCTCGTGTATAGATGATAATTAATTTTATTAAAATAATATCAACATCCCCACAAATTAAGTAATGACCACCAACTATAAGACGATTTTCCAAACTTGGAACATTAACATCTCACAAAGTTATACTTTGAATATATCTACAATGTAACTTATCTATCGCAGAATCTTCAATCCAGGAGATAATGATCATATGGTCATACTAAGCAACATGTGTTTCTCTTCGCCAACCGATTCAAGTTTTCATCATTCGTATTTCTGATATCATATGCTCGTTTGCACCTCTCAACGAAAATATCTTTCGCAGACATTTTTCACATATTCTTTGCAATATCAGCAAATATCTATGCTTCTCTTACACAATAGACCACTCCATTCGGTCTCAAGCTGCAAATTACAGCAACTTTGCGATTGTACGACTCCTGGGGGACGAATGCGCGACTTTGTAGTCCACGTTTCTGCTTTTAATGTCCTAAGTACGTGTCTTTGTGCTTTTCAATACAAAGTGGCGCTTGACAATGTATTGTTGGGCTACAACTGTTTGATGAGTTGCCTGATGGCGCTCGAGAGATGTCGCTGTTAGTTCTTGAAACGCGACAAATATCCTACTAATATTATAAAGGCGGATGTTTGTGTGTGTGTTTGTTACGACATCACGCAAAAACGGCTGATTAGATTGACATGAAACTTTGCAGAAATATAAAAGGGCATCTGGAAAAACACATAGGATACTTTTTACCACCGAAAAATGTCACATTCCCACGGGATCACGCATTTTCCAATATTTTTGAAATAGGTGGCGTGACTAAGCCGATTCGCGTTTTAAACGTTTTCGGCGAAAACTAACAGCGACATCTCTTGGCGAATAAAGCTTTCTTCCCGCGGAATAATAGGTTGCAGCGGGTGAAACCGCTGACGGGCAGCTAGTTATTTTATAATGCAACAATGTAAAATATATTTTCTGTCAAATATGTTTCTGCTTTTAATGTCCTAAGTATGTGTCTTTGTGCTTTTCAATACAAAGTACAAATGACAGCCGCTGTGGCGCAGTGGTTAAAATGCCTGCCTACCACGCAAAGGTTCCGGGTTCAATTCCCGGTGGGGTCACTAACAAAGTTGATATTTATCACTTTGTGAATTGGTCCCAGTCTGGTTAGGACATTGCAGGCTGAACCACCTGATTTGCCCGCAAGTAAGATGGTTCCGTGCTTCGGATGGGCACGTTAAGCCGTCGGTCCCGGTTGCTGTCTATGATGGAGGTCGTTACACAACCATGTTAGAGGCCTGCTACTTGTAGTAGGTAGTTGAAAAATTCTGACACCAGGGTTCATCGGGTCATTGAACGAATCGGTGTCCCACACGAAAAAGAAAGAAGAATACAAAGTGGCGCTTGACAATGTATTGTTGGTCACAACTGGCTACAATGTTTGATGAGTTTCTCGATAGATGTCGCTGATAGTTTCTGAAACGCGACAAATATTATTTTCAATTATTCTAACAATGTCAAATATCTATATTGTCTGTCGGTTTTTCTTTTTTATTCTTTTAATATGTGTATTTGTGCTTTTCAATACAAAATGGCGCATGACAATATATATGAATTTGAAAACTGATACGCGTTGCAATTTTAAGCTGACAACTTGTCAGTATGGTAATTCACAGTTTTATAAATTATCAATATTTTGTCAGACTTGGTGTAAATGGTCGTTTTTTACAGACAGTTGCGCTGCCTGCTCCGCAAGAAATAAATGGATGATAATACTATAGGCTACATAAAAAAAAAATACTATAGATACAAAACAAAAAGTTTAAATCTATCAATAAGATTGTTTATAAGTACCGATCATTTTTCTACTCTTATTTTCAACAAAGCCTGCACTTTCTTTAAGAGCTTTTAATCTTTTCCATCTAGTTAAGTATTCAGAAGGTTTTATACTTCTATTAGTTTAAGATATTGAAGCCATTAGCAAAACATTCTTGTTGAACTATTATTTAAAAGACTTAATCTTTTTCTTGAACCTTTTAAAATTTATTTTGTTATGTAGAAAACAAAACGAAGAAGTTTGTTTCCAAAATTTGGCGAACAAAGAAAATAAGAAAACTAACTATCAATACCAGGGTCATCGGGTCGTTGAACGACTCGGTGCCCCACACGAAGAGAGAGAGACAGAGATAAAAGCCACAACAGTCCACTGCTAGACATGGGCTTCCCCCTATCGGACGGTATTGCCATAAGTACTCTTCACAGATACTTGACAGACGGATTGCAGTTCAAGACGTTGCATTTACAAGTCGCGTTTTACGACACCCGTGGGTAGTATTTTTGAGTTTTTTGTGTTTATCTGTGTGTGGTAGGATTTGCGAACTCCCCTAAACCAGACAACGGATTCTATTGCAGTTTTACTTTATTAGAAAATTGATTGAAGAGGAAGTTTATACATGAATATTACATGTAGAAACAACGTCTTTTACGCTCTACCTGCCCCGCAAGGGATATAGGCGAGATATTTATTTGTACGTGAAATAAGTTGCAGTGAGTTTATACCGTTGACGTACTGCTAGTAGGTAGGTACTTATTAAAACAAAAACCAAAATTTAGATAGCTTGTACAATATTTTTAGCTTCTTATTATTATGTAACATAAAAGTATTGTTTATCGAGAGCAGAAAACACTGCTGTTTTCTTCTGAAAGTTTGCCAAACACCACACTTAGTAGCATTGTTTATCTTTTGACATTTTTCCAACTATTTCTAACATAAATTAGTTTCAAAACATAGATAACATTAGAAATACAGCGAAAAATCATGTAGCAAAAGGATTTGCCTATGTTTTATGACCGGCTGCCTGCTTGACGTCAACCCTCTTTGAGAATGCTATTGTAGGTGGTTACGTTACCGTAGTACGGTTGACATAGTCGACAATATTCCGCCGTGGTCAAAACATTTACTTCACTATTTGCGAAACATCCTGAGTGGAATAGGAGTGGCTACCACACGGCATAAAACGACTCTCAAATTAATCTTGTTAAATACTTACGGAGAAAAAGCTTGTAGTTTTCCTCCCAATTGCGAAATTGCTTTACCGTATCGCACCATCTGGTAAGTAAACTCTCATTTAATACCTGTTAACGTCGCTCATTCACAAAATTGAGAGTTTACCAAAAAGACAACTCGACCCTATTTAGAATTTTTGCGATTGTCACTTGTTACATTGCCAGGGCTGCGACTGTCAAAGTTATCAAAATATAAAAATAGCAGAATTATGTGATTCTTACACATTCTTACTGAGCCTATTTTAATACAAGAAATATGACGTTCGTTCGTGGCAACCATCTTCTTTGTTACCTGTACCCGATTTTACGAATCTACATGCTACAATTCTACAGGCGCAATTCAATGTACATTGCGTAGCCGATTTAATAATGGAATCACAATGGCTAACCGGCTACGCAATATGCATTGAATTTCACCTGTAGAATTATTGTAGCCTGTAGTTTCTTTGCATAGCCCACTGGAGTTCACTGATTTATATCTTGAATTTCTCTGAGACTCCAGAATCTTCAAGTCAATAAGCATCAGAATCCTCCCAAGTACTAAGTGAGCCATCTGAATTGGCAGCCCACGCCGTTTCTCCAATTTGGTGGCTCATGGTGCAATCTGACCTTTCCTTAATAATATGTGTGTTTCATTTCACCCATCCCTAAATGCTCAATAATATCCCGCCCCGTGTTGATAGATGTGATTGTTATTCTATTGGAATGTTATTATCGTACTACCCCCTTCCGGGCCGTAATCGTAAATTTTATTACGGCATTTTCCAATGGTATGGGTTTATGAACGTTTGTATGGGTCGATGCAGTCATGTGTGTTGTATTAAAGTTTGACGTTTTAACATTTTGTGAATAATAAGATGCACGGAAAAACCTGATTTTTGTTCTTACTTATATAGGATGAAATTTTATTAGTGACAGATCCGTTAAAGGTGTGTTCTGTCAATGAAACTGAACAACTTTCCCCAAGGAACATAGGTCGAAATATGAAAAAAAAATTGGCCCTCCCATACAAATTGACCCGGACGGCCAACACACTTAGTATGGGAAGACCAAATTTTTTTTTCGTATTTCGACCTATGTTCCTTGGGGAAAGTTGTTCAGTTTCATTGACAGAACACACCCCTAACGGTTCCGCCACTAATAAAATTACACCCTATATAGGTATTTGTATCTCCAGCCGTGTGGTGCCGGTTTAGTATAGCGTCATCCCATTTCTTTCCCACGGGTGTCGTAAAAGGGTTTCGGAGAGACTCAAGGGATTCATGTGTAGGTATCACAATTAGGCGACAGGCTGACAACTTGTCACTGCAGTGATACAATATTATCTGAAACGGTTCTCAAAGAATTTTGTCGAACGTGGCGGTAACGACCACATTTTACGGCCGTTAACGCTGTGCCTACCCTGTGAAGAAATAAGGCTTCATATTTATATGTATTTGTATAAAAATAAACGAAGGGAGTTCGTTTTTTTATTCATTAACAGTACAATTAAATGGCGTCTACGAAAAGAACTCATCCGTGAAATCACTTAGGTACAATTACTTCCGCTTTCCGCATTTTAAAAGAAAACAAAGAAGTATATTGCACTTGATTTGAATAGCTCAAATTCTTTCGTTAAATGTTTTTAATTGTGCCGAAATCAAATAACCTAAAAGAATTAGTTATTTCCGGTAAAGGATACGTTATTTCAAAAATTGTACTTATCATCATTTACGACTGTGAATATCTAAAATGTTATAAGGATTAAAACGTGTGGTCAGACCTCACTTTTCGTTGCAAACTTAGAAAATTTCAAGAATTTCTCATTGAAAAACTTCGATGTTTAGATCTTGCAACTAAAATTCGTTTGATCGTAACTTCAGAATTTACTAAATCAAAAATACATCTATTTGCCTTCATGAATTCCAAACTGTGAC